CAATATGGAAGAAATGGACAGATTTCTAGAAACATATAAACTACCAAAATTGAAACAGAAAGAAATAGAAAATTTGAACAGACCCTTAACCAGCAAAGAAATTGAATCAATAACCAAAAATCTCCCAATAAATAAGAGTCCAGGGCTGGATGGCTTTCTAGGGGAATTCTACCAAACATTTAAAAAAGAGTTAACACCTATTCTTTTGAAGCTGGTTCAAAAATAGAAATGGAAGGAAAATTTCCAAACTCATTCTATAAGGCCTGCAGTACTTGGATTCCAAAACGAGACAAAGACTGCAGTGAAAAGAATTATAGACCAATTTTCCCGATGATATGAATGCAAAAAATTCTCAACAGGATACTAGCAAACCAGATCCAATAATACACTAAAAAAATAATTCACCACAATGAAGTAGAATTTATTCCTAAGATGCAGGGCTAGTTCAATATATGCAAATCAATCAATGTGATACATCACATTAATAAAAAAAGGATAAGAACCACGTGATCCTCTCAATAGAAGCAGAAAAAGCATCTGACAGAATAAAACATCATTTCTTGATAAAAACCCTCAAGAAAGTAGGGATAGAAGAAATATACCTAAATATCATCAAGGCCATTTATGAAAGATCCATTGGTAATATCATCCTCAATAGGGAAGAACTAAAAACTTTCCCTCTAAGGTTGAGAACGCGACAGGGATGTCCACTCTCACCAAAAGTTATTCAACAGAGTATTAGAAGTCCTAGCCTCAGTAATCAGACAACACAAAGATATAAAGGCATCAAAATCAGCAAGAAGGAAATAAAACTTTCACTCTTTGCAGAGGACATGATACTCTATGTGGAAAACCCAAAAGACTCCACCAAAAAAAAAAAAAAAAAAAAAAAAAACTGTTAGAACTGATTCATGAATTCGGCAAAGTCGCAGGATATAAAATCTATGCACAGAAATCAGTTGCATTTCTATACACCAATAATGAAGCAAAAGAAAGAGAAGTCAAAGAATCTATCCCATTTACAATTGCACCAAAACCCATTAAATATCTAGGAATAATAAACCTAACCAAGGGGGTGAAAAATCCATACACTGAAAACTATAGATAGCCTATAAAAGAAATTGGAGAAGACACAAAGAAATGCGAAAACATTCCATGCTCATGGATTGGAAGAACAATTATTGTTACAATGTCCATACTACCCAAAGCAATCTACATATTCAGTGCAATCCATATCAAATTAACACCAGCATTTTTCACAGAGATGGAACAAACAATTGCAAAATTTGTATGGAACCATCAAAGACCTCAAATAACCCAAGTAATGTTGAAAAAGCAAACCAAAGCTGGAGGTATCACAATTCTGGACTTCAAGCTGTATTACAAAGCTACAATCATCATGATAGTATGGTTCTAGTACAAAAACAGACACACAGATAAATGGAACAGAATAGAGAAATGGACCCACAATGTATGGCCAACTAATCTTTGACAAATCAGAAAAAAAAATCTAATGGAAAAAAGACAGTCTCTTCAGCAATGGTGTTGGGAAAACTGGACAGCAGTTATGCAGAAGAATGAACTTGGACCACTTTCATATATCATAAGAAAAATAAACTTCAAAAGGCATGAAAGATAATAAATGCAAGACAGGAAGCCATCAAAATGCTAGAGTAGAAGACAGGAAAGAACCTCTTTGACCTTGGCTGCACCAACTTCTTACCTGATGTGTCTTCAAAGGCAAGGGATACAAAAGCAAAAATGAACTACTGTCAAGATAAAAAGTTTACATACAGCAAAGGGAACAATCAACAAAACTAACAAGCAACCTATAGAATAGGAGAAGATATTTGCAAGTGACATATCAGATTAAAGGTTAATATCCAAAATCTATAAGGAACTTATCAAACTGAACACCCGAAAAATATTCCAGTGAAGAAATAAGTAAAAGACATGAATAGACATTTTTCCAAAGAAAATATCCAGATGGCTATCAGACATGTGTGTGTATAACATCGCTCTCCTCACATTTTGTATAATTTGTTGTTTTATGTGTCTCTTTCCCTGACTAAATTATTAGCTCCTTGAAGACTCTGCATAAAAGGAACACTTAAGAAATGGTTGTTGAGGGACGCCTGGGTGCCTCAATCACTTGAGCATTCAGCTGTTGCTTTCAACTCAGGTCATGATCTAAGGATCATGGAATTGAGCCCCGTGTTGGGCTCCACACTGAGCATGGAGACTGCTTAAAATACTCTTTCTCTTTCTCCTTCTGCCTCTCTTCCCCACTCATGCTAATATAAATTAAAATAAATAAAAAATGGTTGATGAAATGAACTGAAATTTCTTTCTTGCCCTTTATTCTATTTTGATCTCAACCCATCCTGAACCATGATTCTTTCTCTCTACTAATTCTTCTAAGATTTTACTTCTAGCAAGGGGGGTGATGATAAAAACAGGCATTCACTTTATGCTGGTCTATATGTTATGTCTGTGTTTTGAATTCTTTATATGCATTATCTCTTTAAACATTTTTAACTACCCAACAAGAGGGGCAATTTTTGTAGAAGATGACTGGAGATACCGAGGATGAGTGAGATTACCCAACTAGTGACTCGGAGAGATGAGATAAGGCCCAAGTCTACCTGACTGGAAAGCATATTCTCTTTGATAAATATATTCCTTATAGCATCTACTTTCTGCATCTACCCTCTTGGTCGTTGTTGAAGATTTTGTGCATCACAATGTCAAGGGAGTAGCTCTTAGAAAGACCCCATCCTTAAGCTAAACAATTTGGGTGGGGAATCATGGTTTAATATTCTAAACCAGTGTCTCTCAAACTAGATAAACCATCAGAATTATTTAGTATATTTTAAAATATATAGATTTCTTGGACGTATCTGTACAGATTCTGATTCTGCTCTACTGCAGGACCCAGGAATCTACAGTTTCAAAACTTCTCAGGAGATGCTAGACATCAACAAGAAAGAATCACAGTGGATTTAGACACAAAGGCTGTTACTGGCTTCTGCTCAGAGGAAAACAAATCAAATGAGTGCATTTGAGAACCCCCACTCCTGCTTCAATAAAGAACATTAATTTTATTTTTTTTCAGAGGTAAATGATGGCTATGTGTACCTAAAATGACTGCAGTATGAGAGAAAGCTTCTTTAAAAAAAACAACACAAAAATATTTAACTTTTGTAAATTTCACTGAACTATATGGCCAGTTGAGTACATTGCTAGCACCCTCCCAGGGCCTTGGGAGGCAGCTATTTAAATATTTTAAGGTAATTTTCCTGTCTGTAGAACATATCATGGTTCTAAAAAGATGTTTTATCCAGGGTGAAAAAATCCCATGGATTTAAAAATAAATAAAAGTTTGGAAATTACCAGGCTTGGTGATATTTCTTACTTTGCTCTTCACAATATTAAGATAGTTAAGGATTTTCCTGAAATACACATTCACGATGTCTATAGTATTCTTTTCCTTTGCCAGTCCAGAAAAAAACTATCAAGAAAACAGTGAGATCAGTTTGGAATGTCTTACTCTCAGTATATCCATAATATTTCTTAGTCTATCTATGTTTATAAATTCTCTGCTTAATAAACCATTTTAAAGTTTGTCAGGAAATAGATTTAAACTCATGGACTTATAATTCTCATTTACCCATGCTTTCTAATATAGTTTACCACATCATTTCTAAAAATATTCCTGTAGGATTCTTTTGTTTGCCCCACCACCACCACCACCACCACCCAGGACAACATTCATTAAAGTTCAAAACAAGAAGGAAATGTCAGAAGGCATTTGCCTACCATCTCCACTTGCCAGATGAGACATAACTGATGGTATTACTTTCTATATGCAGGAGTACAGCAGGAAAGACAGAAACAGAATGTGCAATTTCTTCCACACATGCCATCGATTACTCTAAAAATGTAAATAATGTGGTTTCAGACATTATAACTCAAAATTTAATTTGAGCAGTAACTCCTCTTAAAGGTAATACATCCGTAAATTCAGTAATGAGAAAAAATGAGACTAGAGCTCTTCCTGACAATTCTGGGTGAAAATGCTCTAACCAGCTATGAACAGCATTGTAGCCTGGGTACCATAACCCTGTCTCATTCACAGACTTTGCACAAACCCCATATATCTTAGCCTCAGTAGCACAGAGGAAATCTTGGTCTGCTTGAAGAAGTAAGACAGTTTTAATAAATCACAGTCTTATAATAATAAACACAGGAAATCTCTGGAAAATTGAACATCTAGGGTTTTTTTTTTTTTTGTTTCTTTTTTTTTTTCCTACCCAATACCCTGTTTTGGCTGCACTACTAAAATGGTCTGACACCACATTTAAAAAACTTCTTAAGTCCAAAAGCCTTAAAACTAATTTGGTCTGGTGTATAATTTCCTGTACTTCCTTGTTTGGCATCCTTTGTGTTCTAAGGACTTCTGTACTGCCTTGTATTGGATGGAACACACATGCTTCTTAAGAGTGACCAAATCAAGTAACATATGACCTCTACTCCTTTACTATAAATGCAGGCAAAACATTTTAATCATAACCCATTAATGTCTACAAATATTAATTTTTAAATTATAAAATAAATCCAATCTACCAATTGGATTTGTGGGTTTTAGACTGGAAAACCAATGTTTCAGACAGAGAAACCAGTCATTTGATTCAATAACATTTCCCCTTTCCTAAGATAAACATAACAAATAAACATTAGTTATTCTTTGTTCAGGTCAATGCCTTTTTGACCACCCTCCTGGTCTTCCCGTATTAAAACAATCATGCTCCCAACGTCACTCTGAAGTAGGGGCAAGAAGTCTCAAAGCTCCCCGTATATAATTTTCTTTCCATTCATCTGTGTTACCTCTCATATATCATGTCTGTGTGCTTGATGATAACACTCTCAACATTGTTATTTTCAATGTATGGAAGAAGTCACTTTTAAGAACTGTATCTAATTGTACTCATTCTTTACAGACAAATAGAGCTTTCCTTCTCTGTATACACTTTCTAGAAGTGTATACACTTCTGCCCACAGTGGATAGTCATGCTGATGAAAAGAGGGTCAGTATGAGTTGTTTGAGGGAGACTGTCTCACTGACAATAAGGGCTGTAGCCAAAAGGGTCTTACTACTCCAACAAGCAATGATATCAATTTGAAAGTTGTATGATCATATACAATGATTTGTCCATCGCATGGATCGTATCTATTTTTTAGTGAACAGGACAGAACACAGGACTTTAAAAGGTTAGACAGAGTGACTGATGGCAAATTGCTTAACGTATTCTAGTTATCAAATTACATTTCATTATAACTTATTTACAGATATTCACTTGATTTTAAGACTTCTATGTTTTGTTTTTACTAATTTCATTCCCAGTAACTCTACAATTGCCTTATGACATCGATACCATGGTTATTATTAGCAAATATGCATTATTCAATTTTTAAGCTCAGCAAAGGACTGAATGCAATTTTTAATAAACACAATAAAACTAATGAATACGACAACGAACAACTGGAAAATATCCGAGGTATAGAGAGATAAAAAAATACTTTGCCAGAGGAGTCTGAGTGGCTCAGTCGGTTAAGCATTCAACTCTTGATTTTGGCTCAGGTCATGATCTTGTGGTTCATGGGTTCAAGTCTCCCATCAGGCTTTGTGCTGATGGTGTGGAGTCTGCTTGAGATTCTCCCCCACACACACTTACTCTGTCTCTCTGTCTGTCTGTCTCTCTCTCTTTCTCAAAATAAATAAATAGAAATTTTTAAAAAATATTTTACCTACTCGTATTATACATGTGTTGAGTCAGGTCTCAGAATTTCTAGCATTCCATTAGAAAATGTATAAATCATTGTATCTAGATGGTAGATATAATAATGCCAACAAAAGCTCAGGAAATCTGCAACCTGAAGGTTTGAGGGAAAGTAACTATTTTGGGGTTACTAAGAAATACATTTCTTTTTTTTCCTTTTTTTCCTTTCATAGTAAGAAATACATTTCTTACTACAGATTATAAGCTGAATTCAATACAAAATTCATTGGTCTTAACTCAGAATAGGGTTATAATTTATTAATGGGGATCACATCCCAGGAGTACATGACGGTAGGGAGTAAGTTGTACTGGTGTTCTCAGGTTATTGGCATGAACCAGCTTTGACATGTATTTCAAAAATTACTTGATTAGGCAGTTAAATAGGCAAACATGAACATGAATACCTGGAACAATTAAAACTATAACCTATGAGCCTTTTCAATTACAAGTTAGAAGTTGTCCAAGATCTTAATAAAATGAACAGCATTATTCCAACAATGTTTTATATATTAATAATGAACAAATACCCAAAATTCATAGATGTAAAACATTCTCTTCTACATTATAATAGTCAGTCTCTAATTTTATAAATTGACTATTTAACATAGTTGAATTTGGGCAAAAATATTTAGAGTAAAATGAAATTCATTATTAAAAAATGCTTTCTATTGACAGGAATACTGTATGTGAAAATATAAATTTATTGTCCCTTAATTTTATCAAATGTGGAAGAAGTTAAACACTAGCATACCTATCTCAATGTGTAGGTTTTCAACTATAAAACTTATTTATTGCTTCATGTGATTTTTGGAATGCAGTGTTAACTTCAGCACTCATATTTATCTAATTTTGTTTACTACATATTTATTACTCCTAGAAAACTTCCGAAGAATTTAACCAGGTATTTTATTTTTTTCATTTTTTAAATTTATTTTAAAGTTTATTTATTTTGAGAGAGGGAGAGAGAGTACATGTGCTCAGGGGAGGAGCAGAAAGGGAGAGGAGAATCCCAAGCAGGTTCCACAATGGCAGTGTAGAGCCTGACTGCAGGGCTTGAACCCACCAACTGTGAGATCATGACCTGAGCTGAAACCAAGAGGTGGACGTTAAAATGACAGAGCCACTCAGGCGACCCACCAGACATTTTAGATCAGAGAGAGAGTGTGTGTGTGTGTGTGTGTGTGTGTGTGTGTGTGTGCGCGCGCGCGCATGTGCGTAAGCATAATACTTCATAAACATATTAACAAAATAGGTCTTGTACATCAATCTACTTAAACATGATGGGAATAAGACTTTAATTTTCAATGCTCATTGTATAGGATCATCAATTTTTGAAAAGAACTTTAGTTCCTTGACATATTCTGCTTCTCTTAAAGTGGACACCATTTAAGTGGCTTAGGAGACACACCAAAGGAATGAGTTTACACTAAAATAAGATTGACAATGTTTATCAACAAACTAATCATAGTATTGCAGAAAAGAACATTAAAAAGTTAGGCTCAGGTTTTTTGTGCCAAAATGTACCCATATTCAGCTTTTATGCAATTATATTATGTGCAGCCTTTCAACTGTCATTACATATAGATAGTTCCACAAGACTAGATTTTAAGATTAGTTTAATCAAGTACAAAAAAGTATTTTAATATAATCAGTGGCTTTGAACAATTTCTTTCTTTCAAGGGAAATCTTAGACAAAAATATGATACACAATACATTCAGTATTAGTGAATTATAAATGAGACAAAGTATTTTAATGTTTTGTTATAATTCATTTTATAAATCTACAAACAAAATAAAACTCAATTTGTTAGTCAAAATGCAGTTGATCCAATTAAGTAATCATAAAAGCAGTATATGCTGAGAATATATCTTTGAGTATAATTACGTAGTTTTTGGTCTCATGAGGAACACCATCCAAAAATATTGAATTATACCTTCAGCTTGAACAAAACAAGAAAATCTGACCAGCAGAATTGCTGACATTACTGCTTTTAACTATAAGGTTTGCTTTGCTTTGGATACAGTAGTAAAATAACTGTATCCTATCTACAGAGTAACTTGGTGTTGAATGCTCAGCAATATGTACAATGTTAGCAATTCATATTTTTTCCTATTTTATTGCAATGTATAACCTTAAACCAGTTCAAAAAGAAAAATCAGTAATGTCCACTATTGTAACTAAAACAACCATTTTCATATTTCCATGTTCTATTCTGAGACAAAAGGTGTTTTAAAAATGTGTGAATAGCTAACATCATCCTCAACGGGGAAAAACTGAGAGCTTTCCCCCTGAGATCAGGAACACGACAGGGATGTCCACTCTCACCACTCTTGTTTAACATAGTGCTGGAAGTCCTAGCATCAACCATCAGACAACAAAAGGAAATCAAAGGCATCAGAATTGGCAAAGAGGAAGTCAAACTTTCACTCTTCGCAGATGACATGATACTCTACATAGAAAACCCGACAGACTCCACCAGAAGCCTACTAGAACTGATCCAAGAATTCAGCCAAGTTGCAGGGTACAAAATCAACGTACAGAAATCGGTTGCATTTTTATACACCAATAATGAAGCAACAGAAAGAGAAATCAAGAAACTGATCCCCTTCACAATTGCACAAAAAACCATAAAATACCTCGGAATAAACCTAACCAAGGATACAAGAGATCTGTATGATGAAAACTATAGAAAACTTATGAAGGAAATTGAAGAAGACACAAAGAAATGGAAAAACATTCCATGCTCATGGATAGGAAGAATAAATATAGTTAAGATGTCATTACTACCTAAAGCACTCTACACATTCAATGCAATTCCAATCAAAATTGCACCAGCATACTTCTCAAAACTAGAACAAACTATCCAAAAATTTGTATGGAACCACAAAAGACCCCGAATAGCCAAAGTAATACTGAAAAATAAAACCAAAACGGGAGGTATCACCATCCCAGACTTCAGCCTCTACTACAAAGCTGTCATCCTCAAGACAGTATGGTATTGGCACAAAAACAGACACATAGACCAATGGAACAGAATTGAGAACTCAGAAGTGGACCCAAAAGTATACAGCCAACTGATCTTTGACAAAGCAGGAAAGAATATCCAATGGAAAAAAGACAGCCTTTTTAACAGATGGTGTTGGGAGAACTGGACAGCAACATGCAGAAGAATGAAACTAGATCATTTTCTCACACCATGCACAAAAATCAACTCAAAATGGATAAAGGACCTGAACGTGAGACAGGAAACTATCAACACCCTAGAGGAGAAAGCAGGAAACAACCTCCTTGACCTCCACCGCAGCAACTTCTTACTTGACACATCCCCAAAAGCAAGGGAATCAAGAGCAAAAATAAACTGTTGGGACCTCATCAAGATTAAAAGCTTCTGCACAGCCAAGGAAACAACCCAGAAAATTAATAGGCAACCAACGGAATGGGAAAAGATAGTTGCAAATGACATATCAGATAAAGGGTTAATATCCAGAATCTATAAGGAACTCACCAAACTACACGCCCGAAAAACAAACAACCCAGTGAAGAAATGGGCAGAAGACATGAACAGACACTTCTCCAAAGAGGACATCCAGATGGCCAACAGACACATGAAACGATGCTCAGCATCCCTCCTCATCAGGGAAATACAAATCAAAACCACACTGAGATACCACCTCACGCCAGTCAGAGTGGCTAAAATGAGCAAATCAGAGAACTCTAGATGCTGGCGAGGATGTGGAGAAACGGGCACCCTCCTACACTGTTGGTGGGAATGTAAACTGGTACAGCCCCTCTGGAAAACAGTGTGGAGGTTCCTCAGGAAACTAACAATAGAACTCCCCTATGACCCAGCAATAGCACTGCTAGGAATTTACCCAAGGGATACAGAAATGCTGAGGCATAGGAGCACATGTACCCCAATGTTCATAGCAGCACTCTCCACAATAGCTAAAACATGGAAAGAGCCTAAGTGTCCATCAACAGATGAATGGATCAAGAAGATGTGGTTTATCTATACCATGGAATACTACATGGCAATGAGAAACAATGAAATCTGGCCATGTGTAGCAACATGGATGGACCTTGAGGGTGTTATGCTGAGCGAAATAAGTCAGGCAGAGAAGGACAAATATCATATGTTTGCACGTATAGGAGGATTAGGAGGAACTTGACGGAGGAACAAGGGGGAGAAGAAGGGCGGAAATGGTGGGGGAAAGGGAGAGAGGCAAACCATGAGAGACTCTTGAAT